GATAAACATATTTACATATCTGATTATTAAAACTTAAAAGTTTAAAACACTTGTTGATCAATCTAATGGAATACTTGTACATTCTTAATTATCGATTTATTATATTATAAGTATCAACTCATTAAATCATGGTCATGACGCGATCTTTAAAACAATCATGAATTCATGACCCAAACCGCTTATAAACCGAACCGACATGATCCAAACCGTTCATAAACCGAACCAATTGAACTGTGTAAACCCTCCACTAAACCGGCCCATTTCAAACTGAACCGACATGATTCGCACCGTTTATAAATCGAACCGATATTGACCCGGGTAAACCCGCCCCTAAACCGACCCATTTCAAACCAAACCGGCTTGATCCAAACCGTTTGTAAACCGAACTGACATTGACCCGGGTAAACCCGCCCCCTAAACCGACCCGTATCAAACCGAACCGACATAATCCGAATCGTTTATAAACCGACCCGTTTATGACCCAAACCGAATTTAAACCGCAAAGAAATAAACCGAAACCAAACCGAGCTGTGACTAACCCAAACCGAACCAAACCGACCCGCCAGCTAAACTAAACCGTTTCAATCCGAACCGCTCCAAACCGAAACCGACTCAAACCGAGGTCAAACCGAACCGCCAAACCGAAGTCCCACCCCTAATAATAATAATAATAATAATAATAATAATAATAATAATAATAATAATAATAATAATACATTTCTTGAAAACTTTAAGGATCATCTCAAAAGTATTACTGTAGATGTGAGATCTCGAGGAACGTGGGGGGTCCAAATCTTCTAGATGGAAAGAAAAGATCCATAATATAAATTGTATACCACTCATGCCAATGATTGATGAATACTGCACGTACTGATGCAATATTGTAATGGGTGGCCGACAAACTCATTATTTTGATTCTTCTAGTATCACAATTTCTATGGTATTCTACTATTCTTGATGGTACTCCCTAAAAAGTAATAGTAGATTAATTAATTAAAGAATAGGTAATTAACCAAGGTAGGAGAGAGAAAGTGAAGGTAATTAATAAATTAGCAACCACCATCAATAGCACCCATCCCACCACCGTCGGCCAGCAACAACCATCCCACCACTGTCGGCCAGCAACAGCCACCCCATCACCGTCGGACAACAGCAGCCAGCCCGAAACCATCCACCTCACACTCTGAAACCACCCAATCTCAACCCGAACCACCCTAAAACCACCCTATTTCAACCCAAACCACTCTGAAACCACCCTGTTCTCAGGCCAACCACCCATAAACCACCCACAAGAACCCCCGAACAACCCTAAAACCACCCCCGCAGCCCGAACAACCCCAAAGTCACCACCTCTCAACCCAAACAACACCGAAACCACCGCACCCCCTCTCAACTCTAATCACACCGAAACTAACTCCTCTTGCCGAACCACCCCAGAACCACCAACACTCGTCATAAACCACCCCAAAACAACCACCCTCACTCTACCCCAAAATCTCCCACACTCACCCTAAACCAACCCAAAACTACCCTTACTAACCTTAAACCACACCGAAACCACTCCAAACTATCCTTAAACCACCCCAAACTAGCCCAATCAGCCCTCAAACCATCAAATATAAACGATTCAAAAAAAAAAAAAAAAAAAAAAAGAGAGAGAAGAGAGTGAGAAAGGAACTCTAGAGGAGAAGGCGACGACTTTGAATATGGTGATGAGGAGCGACAATTATGACGGTGGTGGTAGATGCGGTGACGATGTTGACAGTGGTGGTTAGATGCGGCGGTGACGTTGAGAAGGGTGGTGTTCTGACAATTCGTGGGAGTTGATTCAGTTGAATGATTTTTAGAAATGAATTGTTGTTTTAAATTAAGTTTTAGATGAGTTAAATTAGGTGAAAATATTATGTTAATAAGTTAGATTAGGAATTTAATTAAATCAGATATAGGTAGTTACCTGTGTTTATAAGTTCTTTAGTAAGGGTGATTTTGTACTTTCATTTAAAAAAACTTACTAAAATAGGGAAAAAAAAGGAAAGTTGCAACTAATGTGTAGCACCCCGTTTTGGCAAAAGTTATAACTAATATGTAACGGAGATAGTATACAAATTTCTTTCTATTTAAATTTAGGGCCAGCCTTTATCCGATGCAGCCTAAACGGTTATACAAGGCCCAAAATCTGATGAGGCCTAGGCTGCACATGTCATTAAATTTGATAAGGCTCAGTTAACCTATCATATCATATCACTAATAAATAAAGCCGGTCTCGCAGCCAGGATATGAGACAGCGACACTTGGCATTTTAATTTTTCACCAAGTGTTGAGCCATGTAGGAGACAAATAAATATTATTGTGATTAGATTAGATTCCACGTTAGATTAGATTGGATAGATTTGTTTAGGATAGATTTGTTTAGGATAAAAAAATTTACATTAAATAATTTATAGGTTTTTTTCATTTTTACCACCTTCAAATAATAACTTTGTCGAATTTACCACCTCCAAAAAAAAAAAACATTTACTTTACCACCTCATAAAAAAATTAAACATCAGTTTTACCACCTCATCTGAGCTCAGGTGACGGAAAACGCTTGTGGGGCCCAGTATAACGGCTAGTTTTTGATTTTTTTTCCCAAATTTCTCTCGATTTCCCTTTTATTTAAACCTAGTTCTTCATTTGTACACCAAATTCTTGCAGATTGGAGATTAATTTTTGCGATTTTCTTCACAAATCAGTATTTTTGGGCAACCTTAACAATCCCAAACCCTCTAATTATCAAACAATCAATTGAACTCCTCGACAACAAGCATCAAATAGGTAAGCCATTGTCGTTAATTCTCTAGCAATTTTCGTGATTTCTGTTGTAATTTTTTGGCAATTCGTTGCGTGATTATGTTGCATTTGCTAAGAGTAATTGAAATTGGGCGTTTTGTGAGGTCAATTAAACCCCAATTTGAATTAAAATACTTAGGGTTCATGTAAGATTAAATTAGATTGGGGGTTTTTGTTATGTGAATTGGCTACTGAAATTAGGGTTATATTATGGTGATTGTGTTCAAATACAATTAATTTCATTCTTGTTCTTACTGAATTTCAGAAGGGAATGTCTTCAGTTAGCATGTCACCCTCAAAGGAGAAAAAATGCCAATGTGGAGTTCCAATGTCTAGGCTGACTGCTTGGACTAGGGAGAACCCAGGACGCAAGTTTAGGACCTGCAAATTCTATGATCCTGTGACTGAGTCAAGGGGGTGTAAAGCTTTTGAGTGGGTGGATCAACCAGATGGAACACCTTGGCAAACAGAGGTGATTAACAACTTGCTGCTGGACAAGAAACTAATGAAGGGAGAGCTGAATGACATGAAGAGGGAAGTTGATGATGTTAGTGGACAAAGGAGGTGCTTGCTCAATGAGATTGACAGCTTGAAGATGAAATGCAAAGCTCTTAGCTCAGACAGGAAGAAGATGATCAAGGAAGTGCATGGCAGCAATGCAACAACAAAGAAAATGCTCACAGTACATGCTATTGTTGTGTTTTGTTGTTTTGGTTTGGTACTGGCTATGTATTTTAGATCTTAGGTTCATTTAGGAATGCTTAGAAACAAAAAAAAATCCCCAACTTATGTTGTGTTTTGTTGAATTATTATGTGTGGATGTTGGGATGACATTTCTTGTACTACTTTTAACAAAATCAATGAGAAATGGAACTTTTTGGTAGAAACATATCACAATCCGTATTAGTACTTGCAACACAATGTTTGAAATTGTTTTACATTGGCTGAGACAAAAGTTAAGGCACCTTTGTGCAAAATCATTGTTCAACTATCATTGTTCAACTACCAAATAAACTTGGTTGTCTATTACAAAATACTAATGAGTAGACCTAGGGTCACAGTTGATTGAGATCCTTGTCCTTCTTGCTTGTCATTACATGAAGCTTGGACCTGGTCTGTATTTTGACTTTGGGAGGAGTAGTTGTTGGCACTCTTGTGGGCTGACTCAGGCTCCTGTTGCTCCTGGTAACAGGCTGAGTTGGCAAAGGCTCTGTTCTTGTTGCAGGCTGGCTTGACACAGCAGTTGCAGGTGCAGCATTACTTGACCCAGCCTGTGCTGTTGTTGGAGGCTGATATTGTGCCAACTTCAGTGCAGCCTGCAATCACAGTATGACAAGACTCAGAAACAAAGCCACTAAATACACTCAAGTCACAAAATACACAAAATACCTGTCTTGCTGCTTTCTCTTCACTTTTCTTTCTCTGTTCCTTAAGCCAAGGAGTCTGCATATGTGGCCTCCCACCCTTTGGATTTGTTGCAGGTGGGTTAGGCTGTTCTGGTGCTGCTTCAGCCTTGCATGTTTTGGCAAAGTGGCCAAACCCACCACAGTTCTTGCATTGTTTCATTACCTTTGGCTTCTTGCCCTCAGGTGCTGCAGAAGTGCCCTCCCCTGGTTCAAGCTTTCTCTTATTTGCCTTAGGTCTTCCTGGCTGCACTTTCAGCATAGGTGGCAAAGGCTGTCTGAGCTTGACCTTTTCCCAATTCTTAGGGCCAGGCATTGGCTGTATTGGGTTCTCATATGCAGCCAAGTATGTCACCCTATAGTAATGTGGGTGCACATACAACTCAGGATCATCCCTTTTGTCCATTATGCAAGCAAATGCATGGACACAAGGTATTCCTGTCAACTCCCATCTATAACAAGTGCATTTTCTCTCTTGCAGATCCACAATGCACTGATCATCCTTGTATTTCACCTCATAAATTTCATCCCTTGAAGTTGTGACCTCACATGTCATGGCATACTTCTCCAACCCATCAAAGACTTTGTTGACAAATGGGGTTAGTAAACCTTCCCAAGACTTTGCTGCCTCCCATTTGTCATTACTCCTCTTCATCATATATCTTCTAAGCCATTCCATTTGAGTTAGAATAGGCTTATCTCTGGCATCTCTAATCACTGCATTAAATGTCTCACACATGTTGTTTAACAACATGTTAGACTTGTAGTTTGTAGAGAAAGCATGCCTTGACCAGTGCTGGGGGTCAATGTTTGACAACCACTGGTATGCTTCTTCATCCAAAAAATTGATACTTTACATAGCAACTTCAAACTCAAACTGATACAACCACACACATGACAACCATTCAACACAACATAGACACATGGCATACAGTTTTCACAAAATAGAAAGACATGTAAATATGTGCAAAACTAAATGTTCCTAGCATACATTATAGTTCACCATAAAACTGACATAAAAGAACCTAAATAGAAGCTTACCAGAGTGCTTGCCCTAGCAGCAGCCCAGAACAATTCCTTGAAAGTTGCACCATGAAATTTCAGTTTGAAATTTGACCAAATATGCCTCACACAAAATCTGAGCTCAGCTTTGGGGGCCACATCTGCAAATGCTTCTATGAGACCCTACACACAAGGCAAAACTAACAAGTTAGTGTACAGAAAATTCAAATAAAGCAAAGTAATTTAAACACAAACACAACCCACTTACTTTCTGTCTGTCAGACATAAAAGTCAAGCCATCTCCTTGGTCATACACACAAAGTGCCTTGAGCAAGCTCTCCAGAAACCAGCACTAGCTGTCCTTGTTCTCAATCTCTGCAGTTGCCCAAGCAATTGGGAAGATGGAATTATTGCCATCTTTTCCAACTGCAACCAAGATCTGCCCAGGGTATGCCCCTTTTAGATGGCACCCATCCACCCCAATTACTGGTCTGCAACCAGAAATGAATCCATCCCTAAGTGCAGCTAAGCACACAAACATCCTCATAAAAATTGGTCTTTCAATTTGATTAATATCATCCACCACCACATTACACTCACTCCCTGGGTTCCATTTCAGCAGTGCCTTCCCATAGTCCCAAACCTTTGAGTATTGCTCTGATGAAGAGCCATATATTATAAGCTTTGCCCTGCTTCTAGCCAACCAAGCCTTGGAGTATGTAATTTTGATCCCCAAGTCATTCAAGGCCCTGTCCTGAATCTGTTTAATCTTCCATCTGGGGTTGCCCCTGAACTCCTCCAAGTACCTGTCAGCAAGGAACTCTGCTGTCACCTTGTTGTTCATTTTACTCCTAACACACCTATGCTTCAGCCTTAGTGTCTTAATTTGCCAAGCCTCTGATTTCACAAGCCTTGTTGCATAAAACTTGAACCTACACCTAACACCCTTACTACATGTACACTTCACTATCCTACAACTGTTCTTGTTATACACACACTTGCATTTCCTTTTGCAATATGTTGTTAGCCTCTTTGAATCATTGTGAAGAAGGTAATACTCATACCTATTTTCAATTGCATGTTGTCTCAAAGCTTTTCTCATTGTTTGCACATCACTGAACCTTTGACCAACTACAAATTTGATAGCCCTTTCAAAGTCTGTCTCAGGGTTAAACCAAGTAACACTACCCTGATCATCATCTGAATCACCTTCCACACTCTTTAGCTCATCAGAATCACAAGTTGCCTCCTCTTCAACCCTCACTTCAATGTTCTATAGATTTCTTTCTATGTCAAACCCTGTGTCCTCATCATCACTTTGATCCCCTCCTTCAGTAACTCCCCTCAAACTGCCTTTCACCTCACTGTTAATATGGTCTACATTTTTCTTCAACCACTGTTCATCATCATCAGAGTATAAGTCCTCCTCTCCCTCATCAACTTCTAACTCAAAATCACTCAAATCAGAATCAGAAGACTTTGTATCACCATCCTCATCACTAAACACATCACTGTCATCCCTTAAGCTCCTCACTCTTTCTTTTATTTTTCTCACTAACTTAGCAAAATTTCCAGTCTCATCCCCAACCTTAGCCTTACCCTTATCTGCAGCAGTGAGTTTACCCTTCCCTTTATGTGTATTAGCATTCACTTTCTCTGCCCTAGGAAGCCTCTCCTCAGCCTCTCTGTCATGTATAACAATGCCTTTTAACCTAGGGCTTCTCCTAAATGGCTCTTCTTCAGTGGGCTTACTAAGTTCTAGGCTGGGTTTGTATACTTTAGGCCCACCAAACCTCTTTTTTAGTTCCTTCCTTTGTGCAGGGGTTAGCTCATTCCCAAATATACATTTGAAGGGTGTTTTGTTAGTCCCTTCAATTGGCTCATGACTGGTAACATACATCTCACATGCCCCCTCTTTGTTCACCGACTCTAGGAAACCATTCACCTCACCATCAACAAGATCCCTTTTACCATTCACCCAAGACTTGCCCTTTTGTTTATACCAGCAACTAAACCCCCTAGGAACCTTCACATTCACATACACAAACCCATGTATAGCTGCTTGCCTCAAAAAGTGTACATCTATCTTATTTTTTTCCACCTTTCTCATCCAATAAACCCACCCACCATCCCAAGTTAACACCCTCCTATTTTTACCAGCTAAAGAAGGTATAAAGGCACCCCCTACTGTAATTTTTAAGTCCACTGTGTCCATTCTGTAACAACACCAACAAAAGCACACACAACAATAACCAATTTCAGTAATTACAGTAAACAACAAAAACCAATTCACCAATTACAACAAGTAAAAGCAATTCACATTGACTATGCACTAAATTAACAGTAACCAAGTAAATCTAATTAACTAATTATTTAACACATGCACACTCTAATTCAGTCAAAGATTCGCATAATTAGGGTTTATAATACTTTAATTCACAGATTCCCCAAAAAGGCATACTTTACCCCAATTGACAACCATAAATCCAACAAAATGTACTAATAAAGGGTTTAAAGTACCTCTTGTAGTCAGGAATCTCGATTTCTGTCAGCAAATTACCAAGCTTTTGGTCCCCTCACCCTGTGGAAGATGACAAGAGAAGCTGATGTGTTGCAATTTTGTGGTTCCAGCTCGATTTCAACCACCCAAATTGATCTAGGGTTTCAGTTTTTACAGAGAGAAAGAGAAAATTCAAAGGAGAGAGAAGCAGTTACAGTGAGAATCAAGAAAAATCAAAGGAAAGAGAGACGAAAATTGATGAGGAAGTGAGAAATTTGGTGAGACATTGATTATGGAAGGTGGAAGGTGAGAAAAGGAGGAGACAGAGGAAATCGATTTTAAAAGAATTAAATTGGAGGGAAGTGACAGTTAACTGGGCCCCACAAGCGTTTTCCGTCACCTGAGCTCAGATGAGGTGGTAAAACTGATGTTTAATTTTTTTATGAGGTGGTAAAGTAAATGTTTTTTTTTTGGAGGTGGTAAATTCGACAAAGTCATTATTTGAAGGTGGTAAAAATGAAAATACCCTAATTTATAATTCTGTTGAAAAAAAAAATTCTTTTTGTTGACAATAGAATTTTACTTATAGCAACACATCACATATTATAATTAATATGAATATCTAATTAACAGTAAGATTTTACTCTTATACAAATAACCACGTAATCATAATTATAAATATGGCCATATATCATTTATTTTTTTCAGTCTACCATTGATTTACCATAAAAGCTTTTGAATCAGGTATTCTTCATATTCAGCTGTAATATTTTTGTGTATGTTTTTGACTTTGTTAATGAAATTATAAAAGTCAAAAACTACTAAAATTAGGATACAACAGAAACTGTACAATACAAGGGAATCTTAAAGTAAATTCAGATCAATGTTAGCAAGGTATTAAAACTTTACGGGTTTTTCACTTCAAATGCATTTCAATAAAAAAAAAATTCTTCTACAAATAGGTGTTATTGTGACACATATGATGCTAAGTAAGCGAATTTTTGATAGATTTTTTAAGATAAAAATGTTATATAGAGTTTTATTATCGATATACATCTAATATTTCATATATATATAATTAATCATAACTTTAATATCATATAACTTCGTTTTATTTCCATTATCATAAAATTTGTTTTAAAAAGTTGTCTAAAATAAAATTCATTTATAATATATTTAATTTATTTAAGTTTTAATCAGTAATAATAATTTTAGTTTCGTAAAAATACTTTCAGTTTAATAAAAAGAATCAAGTTAATAATAACATAGATACCTATTTATAAACAAAACTACAAAAAGTACACTATTAGATAAATAAGTGATATGATATCGTATGTATAAATATTATGCATTATCAAAAGAAATTATATGAGCGTATTTAACCTTCAAGCCAAAAAGTTTATCCTAAATTTACCAACAATTCGGACATCGCCTGGGCACAAAACTAGTAACTATTATATAAAGCTAAACTTTTAGCCAGGTTCACGAGACAACGACACTTGGCATTTCAATTTTTTGCTAAGTGTCGCGCCACGTATTCAACAATCAATAATTACTATGACATGCACGATAAAAATATTGCATAGATTTAGATCGATTTTGTAATATAAAAATAAAGTTAGTTTAGAGTTTTACATTCAATAAAATTTGGATAGATTTTTAGGATAAAATTGTTGGTTTAATTAGAGTTTTATTTTCAATAAAATTCCAATATTTCAAATATTATATGTCGTTGTATCTATAGAAAAGACCACCGAACTATAAAGGATCATAGAGGCCACAAGGTCTTGCAACACTATCAAAAAGATTTTGATTCGTAATTTTCATAACACTAAGCTTTTTAACTTCTTTCTCTATTATTAAGTCGAATTCTACTTCCTTCACACACTACGTAATAAACTTCAGAAGTCTTGATAGGTTAATATTTATCATAAATTATATTAGATTACAAATAGTTAATGACACTAATTAATCACTATTATACCTACTGTAACATTTTTCACATATTAAAAAAATAGAATCATACATTATATTAATAGGATAATTAGCATTACAAATCTAGGCTCCACTCTTAACATCTTATTTTTGCTTCATACATACCCTTCCTACCACAATAGGTATTTGCTTCAAGAGTAAAAATCAAGCTTTACTATTATGCTTTAGGTCATATTGCAGTAAATTATGTACAAAGTATTTTATTTTTTATTTTTTTAATCATGGTGTCTTATAGACTAAAGTGGTATGATGATCCCATTAATCCTATTATTTTAGAAGTTTGATAGAGGTAGTTAGGTATGTTTAGGGTAAAAAATACCCAAACACGTGACCCAATCCCATAGAGACACGTGGTCTAATTAAAGGGCAACACATGTCCCTATAAGAAGATGACACATGTCAAGCATAAAAAGCACCTGAAATGAGAGAAAAGGCCCTCCTTACATCACGAGGCCCAAATCTAGAGAAAGACGCAAAACGGCGCCCCATTTGGACACGTGCCTTTACCTGATTGCGCCGCCAATCAGAGCACGCCATCCTAGGTTATCAAACCCTAGAGGGCACACTTTCCCACCCCTATAAATACCCCAATCATTTATGATGGGAGGGGTGGAATAAGAAATATCTTTTTAAGAGCACTAAAAGCTCTAACTTCTCTTTACATTTATTTCGTTTTTGGTCACTAACTTGATCGCCGAAGGCAAATAATCCGTCAAACGGAATATTCGTTATTTTGCAGGTGTCCGCGTCCATTCGGCCGAGTTTAAGACCAGTATCCCGAGAGATTCCAACATACCCCGAAACATTTGGCGCCGTCTGAGGGTATACTCGTCTACAATGGCTAAAGATGGTCAGACACCCGGTCTTAGTAAGGACGGACATGTAGAAAATCTCATTGCTACAATCAACACCAACGATCCTCTGACCGCTTCATTCCATGAGTCCGAGGATCCTCCGGTGACTGCTGGTTCCTTGAAGGCCGCTTTGAGCAAGCTCTGAAGGGAGCTTGAGAGTAAGATCTCTTCTTCTTCTAGACAGTTGTCCATAAGGGAAGGAGAAGATGCTAAAAAGAAAACTCAGAGCAAGGCGGTCAATGCTGAAGATGCTGGGAATACCCCATTCCGACGACATGCAAGGTCACCAAGGGTGCCCCGGACGAAGTTATCCAGGCTCCTTGAGAAAACGCAGTCGACTAGGGGGTAGATCGGGCAGCCTCTGAGGCAGCTAACCAAGCCGTCCCAATGCTGGAAGGATGCGAGGGATTATCTCCGGTACAGGCGGCAGGAGCGGGCACACTACTCGGACACTGCCTCAACTCCTACCATGACGGATGATTTCTCAAACCACACCCTCTCCAAGCATACTAGCTCAGCCAGGACCAGCAGAAGTCAAGCTTACCGTACTCCAACTCTAGTTCCTCTAACTCAACCAGTACAATATCAGATGCCCCAGAATTATGGCACAATTCTGCCACCTGTTCCCCTATCTTTAGAAAGTACGGGTAGTATGGCCAACTGTACGACCAAGCAGCTTACTTGGGCAAACCGGCAGCACAACCTCATCCCATTGATTGGCAAATGCGCTTGTTCAATCTTGGTGACAAGCCGCCTTCGTTTTCTCAAGAAATTCTCAACTTTCCCCAACCAGCAAAAGTGAAGAGTGTACTTGTGGCTGCCTATGATAGTACGGGCAACCCAAAAGAGCATGTCACCTCGTACAGAAACCTGATGTACCTGCAAAGTGTGGATGATGTCACTTGGTGCAAATGCTTCCCAGCCACCCTCAAGGGTGTGGCACAAGACTAGTTCAACGGTCTGCCGGCCGAATGCATCAATTGTCTTAAAATCTCATTCTGTTATTCGTTGGAAACTTCTCCTACAACATACCCCCCTGAAAGACTAGACTTAACTTGGCAACCATCGTCCAAGGAAAGAAAGAGGGGTTGCGCTCGTACGTCTAGAGGTGTAATCAGGAGAAAGCTCAAATTCCAAATCTGCTGAATGAAATGGCCTACTCGGAGTTCCTTCGAGGTTTAAGGCATAACGGTTTCAAGTTTGACTTGGTCAGGAAAAAGATTCGGACATAGGCAGGCGTTCTGCAGGAGGCCAAATCATATATTGAGGCAGCTTATTTTTGTTCTCTTACAAAATCAGAAGAGCCAGCCAAGGGGGCCGAGAAGAAACAATCTTCTCAGCAAGACTCGGCCGGCAAAAAGAAGGAAGGAAGCAACAAAAGAAAAGAAGTCTGAGTGGCCGACTGCCAACAGACAAAATCAAAGAAAGCCAAGACGTACGAGCCTCAGTTCGAGTACAACAAGGATTATTATTCAATTTTTATGGAAATCAAAGACAAGCTCGAGTTCGAGAAGCCTCGGCCTTTGAGAGGGTCGGCCCAGTACAGAAACAAGAACAAGTACTATCACTACCACAAAGATGTGGGGCATGACACAAACGACTGCAACAATTTGAAGAGGTTGCTGGATAAGTTGACCGAGAAGGGCATGCTCAACTCATACGTTCTAAAGTCCAAGTTCACCTACTCTCGAACAGACAACAAATCCGAGAAGAAGAAAAATAAAGAAAAAGATGATGATGGAAATAGCACAGACTCAGGATTTGTGGCCGTCATATCAGACGGCTTTGCTGCAGGCGGCCCTACCATGAAGGGAATTAGGCAAGATGCTTGGAATTTGAGAATGTGATGGAAGGGGTGAAGGCTGAGCCCTTTCTAGAAGTGATGGTCTGCGAGATGGACCGCGACAATATCAAAGCCCCTCACAATGACCCCATGGTATTCATCTTGAAAGTCGCTAATTTAAAGGTTGGACGAATGCTAATAGACACGGGCAGCTCGTCCAACATAATCATTTTAGCTTGTCTGAAGAATTTGAATTTTCAAGAGGATGCTCTGAAATATATCTCCCACCCATTCGACATAATCAGTTTAGCTTGTCTGAAGACAGAAAACTGGCGAAAAATCACCAGAACCTGTCGCTGGACGGCAGGAACCAACGTCCAGCGACAGCTCTATCACGAGCGACAAGGTTGTCGTTTGGCGTTGGTTTCTGATGTCGTGCGAGAGTTTTGGCGCTCTGCGACAGTATTAATCGTAAATATTTTTTCGGATTTTTCACAACGTCTTTTCGATTTTAGTTGTGAAAAAAATTTCCGGCCTTTCTTACGTGTATTTCCTATGTTTTGACGCATAACGAATGGTCTTTCCAATGCGTACTTTTTTATGCTTAAGCCACAATAATCAAAATTACGCACATGAGTATCAAGAATCTTTCAAGCCCCATCCAACTAAATGATAAGTAGACTGAGATTATGGACCAAAATAATCTGGTTTGGACGTAAATACGATTTAGGCACGAAATGAATTATTTTAAGGACACGAAATGAATGATTTTGGGTTAAAATATTTTAGGTAAGGTTAGAATATGTTCAAGGCTTAAGGAAACTTCACGAGACTCTTCAACTCTTTACCGAACTCGTTAA